TATATGTCATGTCAGGTCACGTCGGCAAATGTCTAGTTCGCTCGTGCCAGCATGAATGATTTTTGGCATCAATGTTTCCCGAAAAGAAGTGTAATTCTCGTTTACGATTGGTCATTTAACTTTAAACTTTATTATATATAAAAAGTCACTAAACATTTGCGATGTATAATAAATATTATTAAATAATTATGAACTATATTTTTGTAATAAATCTATTTAGAAATATAAATGTTGATATTATTTTTATAACTCTAAAATTTTTAAAATAGTTTGATTTTGTTGTATTTTTTCAGATAGAGGTAGTTGTAGATAAATAGGCCAATCCTAGGAGACAGTCTAATATCTTGGTCGTCCAAACGACAGCCCTGTTTTTCGTTTCAGTGCTGAGGCTGAGTACCGGGCTATGGCCAATACAGTTGTTGAGGCTTCTCATGGTTGCACTAGTTATTGGGTGAGCTTTTCTGTCCTATCCGTCGAGCCACATTGCATTGGTATATATACTGTGACAACACAGTGTAGTTTACCTCTCGACTAATCCTGTGCAGCATCAGCACATGAACCACATCCAGATTGATCTACACTTTATCCGAGACAAAAGGACATCGATGGGCAGTTCGTGTTCTTCACGTGCCGACATCATCTCAATATGCTGACATCTTCACCAAACATCTTCCATCTTCTGTTTTCACGGAGTTTCATTCTAGTTAGAAGGTGTCTTTGTGGTTTCATTCTAGTCAGAAGGTTCGTCTTAGTGGCTGACGACGCTTCGACTACAGGGGGTGTTAGACAGGTATGTTCATAAGGCACCTTGTAATCATGTCATTGGGTCTAATTGCTACAGCCCATGCACGCATGGAGCCAACGTACGCTCGGTCAGGGTTCGCTTCCGATCGATGGCAGTGTCCTATATTATGTATTATGATTGATCAGTGAATCTAATCATCGCGTGATTATCAATACGCTTTCACACACGTCACATGTTTTTTTAAGAAGCACACACCACGTGAAAAACAGTTTGTAGCAACAGAGCTTTTTTTAGAGGCGGCTGGCATTGGAGCCGCCCCTACAGTGGCGTGCTCAGGCTTCAGCACAGCAGCCGCCTCTACAAATGTTACAGTAGGGGCGGTTGGTAATATGAGCCGCCACTACAAATGCGTTGATGTGTAGGGACGGTTGGTATTACGAGCCGCCCCTGCTACCAGCAAGCTATGTCGCCCCAATTCACCCCAAATAAATTGATGCATCCCCTTTACGCAAAAAAAATAGGCTCCCTCCCACGCCCGGCTTCCCCTCCCGCTCGTCTCGCTCATGCTCCTCTCATGGCGCAGCGCCCCCTCCGCCGCTTCGCGCCCGTCCCCTCCCTGCCTTGCGCCTCCCTCCCTCTCCTCTCCTTCTCCTCTCTCTCTCCTCTCTCTCTCTCGACGTGGTGGCACGGCTTGGCCTAGCTAGCAGGCACCTCCACGTCTTGACGGCCTGGGTGGCGGCGCCGTCGGTGTCTGCTTGTGCAGCAGCCAGCAAGACAGGCCCGGTGGTGGCCGCCTCCTGCCACGACGCGGCGCCCGTGAGCCCCGCCGCTAGCCGCGGCACGTGGCTGCCCTCGGCGCAGCCTGCACCTTGTGGTCCTCGCATCGTCCCCTCCTCGGTTTGGTCCCCCCCCTCTCTCCTTACCTCTTCCTGCCAGATCTCCCTCTCCCTGCGTTCGTGGAGGCTCGCTCCCCTTCACTATGGACGGCGATCTATGTGCACACGAACTGTGCGCCTGTGCTATAGGAAACCCTAGCTGCCTATCCTCATCTTTTTGCTACAAATTTGGCTGCAGGTTTCCTGGTCTTTCTTCATGTGCATACCGTTCTGAATCAATAGATATTTTTAATGTGTGCTTAGCTACTACTTAAATCTTGAACAACTCTTAGTTCTCATATAGCTATTTGCTTCTTCTGACTTGGTAGTTGTCTTGAGTGTATTTTATTTTGGGTGGACCATATCTATTTCAGGCCAAGCAGGTAGTCACTATTGTTACCAGCTTGTTCAAATTTTATGTTTGGGGCTGAATTTATCATGCTTCAAAATTGGTAATGTCTAAGTTATCTCTATATAACTTACGTGTTGCCATGTTGGTCCGCATAGGCACCATGGCATCACTCCCAAGTCCTCGTAGCAAGCAAATTAGATCCCATGCCTTTTTCGTGCTACTATAAAGAGATTTCATCATTTTTAGAATAACAGCTCCACATCGGCTGCGGTGTGTGTTCAGCTGATATTGAATGTGCAGATCATGTGGCCTATTGCGCATGGTGGAGGTGCACTCTCCCCCCCCCCTCCCCTCCCTTAGCTCTCTCTTCGCACTGCTGAAAGCTCTAGTTTGGTTTTGGTAAATTGATGAAACCCTAAGTGCTAACCTAGTTCATCAAGTGATCATGAGATAGGTAGCACACTTCAAGTAGAGAAGCAAATGAAGATCATAACATGACAATGGTGATAGCATGGAGATGATCAAGGGCTTAAACTTGAAGAGAAGAAAGAGAAAAACAAAAGGCTCAAGGCAAAGGTATAACTTGTAGGAGCTATTTTATTTTGGTGATCAAGACACTTAGAGAGTGTGATCACATTTAGGTTTGATAGCCGTACTATTAAGAGGGGTGAAACTCGTATCGGAATGCGGTTATCAAAGTGCCACTAGATGCTCTAACTCATTGCATATGCATTTAGGATCTAGTGGAGTGCTAACACCCTTGATAATATTTGTGTAAATATGCTACCACATGTGCACAAGGTGTTTGTAGGGTTGAGATGGGTTTGGGTCCTCTCTCCCTCCCACCGAACTTATGAGGCGGGATTAGCGCTTCGGGAAAATGAAATGTCTATTTTCTATTGCTGTGGGATGCAAAATTCTTGGTGGTTGGCACACTTGAGCAAGGGTGAAGAAGTAAGAGTTGAAATGGAGTTGATCGAAATGATGTTTGGCGTCGGTCTCTTGGCCGGATATTTGGAGTCACTCAATGACCGGACGCTGAAAGGTTGCGTCCGGTCGGTGTGCCGACAACCATGATGGCTAGGGTTGAGCACGGGACGGGCGTTGCGTCCGGTCAAGAGTGGACCGGACGCGTCCGGTCGAAAAAAACATGCCTCGGGAGCTTATTGAAACGGCCGGACGCTGGGGCTTCAGCGTCCGTCGGGTTTCTCGGAAGCGTCCGGTCGGCACCAGCAGCCGTTGAAATCGGCGAACAACTTTTGAAGGCTGGTGACGCGTGGCGCCCATCGTCCAGCATCGAGCGGGCGTCCGGTCGAGCGCGCGTTTGCCCGGTGAAGGGGTATAACGGCTCTATTTGATTGAGGCTCTATTTATAGCCCCATGGCCGGCTCAAGGGATGACTCTTGCACATTTTCATTGACATAGCAACCTTGTGAGCCTAGCTAAAGGACTCCCACCCATCTACATCATTGACTCATCATCATAGTGAGATTGGGAGTGATCCAAGTGCATTGCTTGAGTGATTGCATCTAGAGGCACTTAGTGATCGTGTTTCGCTGCGGATTTCGCTTGTTACTCTTGGTGGTTGCCGCCACCTAGATGGCTTGGAGCAGACAAGGATCGTTGAGTGGAGGAGGTGATTGTCTCCGACTCCGATCGTGGTGATTGTGAGGGTTCTTGACCTTTCCCGGTGGAGCGCCAAAAGGTACTCTAGTAAATTGCTTGTGGCTTGTGTGATCCTCATCTTGTGTTGGTTGTGCGGCACCCTATTGAGGGTTTGGCGAGTGATGCCAATCGGTAGCGTGAACCTCAAGTGAGTGAATCGCCTAACGAGGATTAGCTTGCTTAGGCAAGCAAGTGAACCTCGGTAAAAATCATTGTGTTCATCATTTGATTCCGAGGTGATTGGTCTACATTGGTATTCATTATTATGATTGATTGGTTCCTACCACTACACGGCGGTATAACTCTCTTGCTCACTCTTACATTACCGCAAACTATTTATCAAGCTCTTTAGTGTAGCTAGTTGTGAGAGCTTGTTTGTTTGATTAGTGTTGCTCTTTAGTTAGTCTTTGAGAGCACACTAATTTAGCTAAGTGTCATAGCTATTGTGTGGACATACACTATTCAAAATAGAATTGAGGTAGGTGGCTTGCATTTTAGTAGGCTAGCGCAACACTCGCTTCGCTGCAAAATTGTCTAACACATTTTGTTAAGTGTTGTTGTAGAATTTTATTAGGCTATTCACCCCCCTCTAGCCATTAGGACCTTTCAACTGCAAGAATCTTGTTCCCCCTCTCCAAGGAGCCCGTTGGCTCCTGCCGTTCTCTTGTTTTTAAATGTGCAGAACTGATATCCTTCGTTATACAATGATGATTAGTTGTTTCGTTCTTCATGTTATCTCACGAGGTTTTGGGATTGTACAATGATGAATTTTTCTTGAGACAATAGAATTGTGCAATGATGAATGATTATTTCATTCTTCCATGATTCTTGCTATTTGCATCAGTTTTGTGATGGCAATGTCATTATGGCTCAGCAGTTCTCTTTTGCATGTGTTGTTTTGTTTTTATTAGTTGCTACATTTTGTGCGTTTGTTACTGAGCATAATTCCATTGTTAATGATGTCTTTGATCCACATAATTTGCTAGTTGTTATATTGCTGAGCGCACCCCATTGCCAATGATGTATTTACTCGGCACAGATTTATAGTTGGGTGGCTGCAATGGGTCCCTCTGTTTCGGTTTGCTACAGATCTACCATCTTTGTTTTCTTCCTTATATGTTTTGGTCTTGTCCATCTGGTACATCAACTAACACATTTAAGCTTAAGCTACACTACCCCTGCTGGTTAGTACAATTTAGAGGTTAGTATATATTGTGCCCTTTGTACTACGTTTACCTTTATTTTTGGAGGTTAGTATACATTGCCCCTGCTGATCAGTACCATTTTTGTTGTTATTATTGCTCCCTTGCCCCAGATCCTCCGGTAATTTTGCCTTGTAGGGCTTTTGCCCTCCGTGTGCAAAATGGATCTCCTTGTTTTGGTCTTCTTCCTGCTTTGGACGTGGATTGAATTTAAGGTTTATGCCTTTACGAATAATCTGGAATGATTCTTTGTTAAACCTAATTTTTTTTATGTTTTCTTTTTTTATGTTTTGGTGTGTGAGATAGAATTATACCTACATGTTTCCTTCAACGAAAAAAACAATGTATGCAAGTCTTTCTTTGTGCTACTTGAGAAAAAAGAATGAGCCCACATGTTGTGAACGAAATTGACTTCGAAATTAATTTTAATGTGACTCACACAGGGTGGAATCACTTCATCTAATATTGCTACAAAAGCTTTGGAAGCTACGTGCCAAAGTCATGGGACAAGCATTATTTGGTGTACCATTGTGGTAGCTTGATCTGAGAGTAGATTTCTGGGGTCCCTTATATTGTTTTTCTTGGTATTAAACATTTTAGTTATTCCACACTAACACGAAATAATTGAACCTTTTGACTCAAGGTAACATCGTGCCCCTCAAGCAGGTAATGTTGGTGATAATGAGTGCTCTTGCTAAAGTGGTGAAAAGTTGGGCTTCCCCATCTATAAGTTCTACAAAAGAACTTCTTCTTATAAGATTCTCGATATTTTAAAGTCTTGTCAAGGTTAATTTTTACGGACCACTTATCGGATTTAAATTTTTCTTTAACTATTTTCTTGTTGTAAAGAATGCAGAGAGAAGGCGGTTATCTTTGTTGGTGCTTTCAATGTGTATAACCTTGAGGGAATTGAAGCTATTGTTGCGGCAGCGAGAGGTTGAAAACAGTCCTGCTATCCTGCAGGTTAGGAACTTCAATATGCTTATTTTCACGAAATCACATAATGCGAAAACATAATTAAACTCGTTAGGTTCTCATGCCTTTTATTTTCTTTCTGCAATATTCATGTGGGGGCTTGGGGGGTTCATAATTGTTAGATGAATAAATGTAGCTTATTTGTGAGGAGCGAGTCTATGTTCATTGTAGTGTTCTGGTGATGTTCCTTGTAGTTCGGTGCTCTGTACTCTTTCTCTTCTTAATGAAATGAAGCTCTTGCTATCCTACAGGTTCTTTGAAAGCAGTACCACGTAGCTCTTGATTATGAAAACATAGTATATAGCATTGTTAATGAATATATGAAAAATTAGTATATCACATATACTATCTCGAGACTTTATCTTAATTGCTGTGGTTGCTGTTTAGATTCACCCCAGTGCTCTGAAGCAAGGTGGAGTCCCATTGGTAGCATGTTGCATTGCTGCTGTCAGAATAATCCAGTGTAAGAGAAACTTGAGAATCTACCGTTTTCAAAGAGAGCAAATTCAACTATCTGTACTCCTAAATAAACCACATATTTAACAATTATCTGAATAAATTGAAAACTCTAGTGTTCACATTCTGTGATTCTCTTATCACAGGTGCCTATCAGTGTTCACTATGATCACGGCATTTCCAAGTCAAACTTGCTTCAAGCTCTTGAAGCGGTATGTGAAGATCCGTGGTTTCCTGAAATATGCATTACCAAAGATGACATGCAAGTTTATTTCATAACCATTAATCTTGAGTTTTTTTCCTGGTCAATGTCGTGACCCATGAATTTCTAGGGATTTGATTCAGTCATGGTGGATGGTTTCCATCTAACTTTAGGGGAGAACATCTTATACACAAAGAGCATATCTTCCTTGGCTCATGCAAAAGGTTTACTTGTGGAAGCTGAGTTGGGTAGGCTCTCAGACTCTGAAGATGGCCTGACCGTTGAAGAATATGAAGCAAGATTTACTGATGTTGTCCAGGTGCGTTCTTCTTCTACAACAATGTTAATTGAGTGGCCTTCCACTGTGATTCTTTTGCCTATTTCTAAGGATTTCGGTGCCTTCATGGTACATATTTACAGGCCGAGGGATTTATTGATGAGACAAGCATTGATGCTCTAGCAGTTTGCATTGGAAATGTTCATGAAAAATATCCACCTAGTGGACCAAACCTCATATTTGAATTTTAGTACAATCGCAGAAAAAGATAAGTCATGATGGAGTTGTGCATGAAAAATATATGTTCTGATCGAATTTGAATTATAAATTTAATTTTTTTTTGTGAAAAAATATATTGTAGGGACGGTTCTAAACTGAACCGCCCCTACAAACAGGTATTATAGGGGCGGCTGGTACTACCGCCGCCCCTACAAATCGATTTTGTAGGGACGGTCTCGGAACCGCCCCTACAAATCGACGATTTGTAGCCACGCTTTGGTAGAGGCGGCTGACCAAACCGTCCCTACAAATGCCCATGAGCCACCCCTATAAAGCCTATCTGTAGTAGCGACACACATCACATGTGCCATCAAAAAAAGCCTGCACCTGCCAGCATTATTATTATATCGTTACACGTCACATGCGCGTTATGAGCTTCGGCGTGCTGACAAACTCTCTTCCGTTTTGCAATAGCTAGCGGCAGGCCTCTTCATTTGAACTTATCAGTCGGCTTATCAGCTAAAATCTACAGTATTTTTCTCTCACAGTAAAACAGCTTCAGCCGACTTATCAGCTGACTTTAATAAGAAACAACTAAACAAGTCAAGATCGGAGGCCAAATTAAGCTATTAACACTGTAGAGTAACCACGCACTGGGTAGATCTGGTTTGGTAGCTTGCCTGTGTGCATCACTGCCGTCCTCTGCACTGCTGCAGCCTGCATTGCTGTTGGCTTACAAGACAAGCACTGACACTGTTGACAGTGTTGGCATAGTATACTGCTGCAGACCTGCACAAAAGAAGCAGGCGACAAAAATACGAACGAGTGATTTATCAGTAATCTGAACGAGGGATTTTTTTTTTCATTTTTAATCATTTTTAACTTTTATTTTAAAAATAGCCCCACTTACTTTTATTTTAATTTAACCGATTTGGACGCGCCAACGCAGCTGGTGCAACAAAATCACGCTGTCACGCCACATGTGTTAATGTGGCGAGATCTACCACGTTGCACAGCGACTTTCACGTGGAAAATCTTGTCACGCCGTCACTTCCGTCGGTGTGACAGTACTATTTTGTCGCATCAACATGAATAACGTGACAAGACTCAACCTTAGAAAAACCATATCTTTCTCATACAACATCGGATGAAGATGATTAAGATGCTTGAGAAAATAATATAAAATTTGAGTTTTTTCATTTAAGTTATTAAGATGCTTGAGAAAATAATATAAAATTTTAGTAGCATAACAATCGTGTACAAGCGTATAAGTGTTAGTCGCCTTAGAAAAATAATATCTTTTCTATACAGTGTCAAATGAAGATACTTTTTATATGAATGTTATAGTCCTCATTGAGTTCTATATCTTTATAATTTTGATTTTAACATTTGAGATCGTAAATATGCTAAAAAATTATATACTTCCTCCGTTTCAAATTATAAGATGTTTTAGTATTTTTAGATATATAGTTTTTACTATGTATCTAGACATAGCTTATATTTAGGTGGGTAGCAAAAACTATGAATCTAGAAAAGTCAAAACGTATTATAATTTAGAACAGAGTGATATAAAGTTTCATCGGCAAATTAATCGCGTAACAAAAACTTGTCGCCTCACAGAAACAGTATCTTTCATGTATGGTGTCAAATAATGAAGATACTTTTTATATCAAAATTGTGCTATCTATGAACTCTACAATTTTTTAGTTTTGAGTTTTTTTATTTAAGATAGTTAAGAAGCTCAAGAAAAAAATATAAATCTTAATGGTCATATTAATCGCGTACCATGGCTTGTTTTATTAAGAAAAATATCATATCTTTCTTATATGATGTTCGATAAATATATTTTTTATATATATGAAAGGTGTAGATCTCGATAAGATCTACATGTTTCATTTTAAAAAGTATCTTGAGGGTCGCAGCCTCAAACGCTGCCTACGTGCGGGCACGCAGCTGCTAGCGTGGCGCGCCCGAGTTGGAGCTGACAAGTCTGGAGATACTATCTTCGCTGTTTTAATCCCGCGCTACCGGCTCTCTCCTTTCCCCTTTTCTGCTTCACCGCTGGCCACTCTGTTCACCGGCCAAATTCGCCGTCATCGGTGATCCACCTCCACCCAATTTCCTTCACCTTTAGCTTTGCCTCGTCCTTGCGCATCCCCTCAACCTGGTTGCGTCAGTCCTCCTCACCGAAATCAGCCACAACACCGGTAAACCGCCGTGGCCATCTGCCATAGCCGTTGTGGGCATCTTGCCGTGGCCAACCCTGACAGTGCATCTCCCTCCGGTCTCTCTATTGCGCTGGCTTCCTCTTAGGTTTGTAATGCTCATCGCCTTGCTCATTTTGGAAATCCCGTGCAGGCCTCGTCAGAGCATTGTCGCGCTGCCGGTTCACACCATCGCCGTCGACAACGCCGTTCGCGCCGTCTCCGCTTTGACCGCATGTGCGACCAAGTCACGGTGAGCACCAGAAAGCCGTAGCAAGATCTAGCTAGGACCGCTAAGCCCTAGAACGATGAACCTAGGCCGAGCTCGGCGTAAACCCTAACCCTAGCTGTTAGCCATCTAGTTGTACATCTTATCGAGGGCTACACCTTTCATATAATTTTAAAAGTATATATTTATCGAACATCATATAAAAAAAAATATGATTTTTTCTCTAAAAGACAAGCCTTATCTTGTGATTAATATGCCCTTAAAAATTTATATTATTTTCTTGAGCATCTTAATTACCTATCTCGAATGAAAAAACTCAAAACTAAAAAGTTATAAATCTCATCAATAGCTATAACTTTAATATACAAAGTATCTTCATTTGACATCATACTTAAAAGTACGATTTTTGTGAGGCGGCAAGTCCTATTGCACAATTAATATGCTCATGAAACTTTATATTTTTTGAGAATCTTTACTATCTCACATGTAAAAAATTTAAATTATAGCAGGCATCCTAGCGCCCGGGCGTCCGGCACGAGCGCTGCGTCCGTACATCGCTCCCCTTCCCAAGCCCCCCACAGAATCGGATCGAACATAATGGAATGGAATCCACCGCTACTGTCCTCCATTCCCCACCGCGCCCCGACCCTATTCCCCAGTAGCGCCTCATTCCCCACCGCGCCGCTGTCCCAAAAGCACGAAACACTTCAAGTGCAACATCACAAAAAATATGTGAACTGTATAATACAACATCGGGATATAAATATTGCAACATCAACCTACTATGTAGTGCAACATCAAAAAATATGTACAACAACATCAAAAAAAAATTATGTACTGCAACATTCGAAAAGTATGTACTGCAACATCTCAAGCAGTAGTGCTGCAACATCGCAAAATCAACCATGAAACATGGAAAAATGAAAACAACTCAATAATCACCTTTCAGTGCTGCAACATTTGAAGAAGGTAATTTCAACAATTAAAATCCCCTACTGCAACAATCCTAACATTAGAACTCCCTTTTTGTAACACATGAATCACCTATTGCAACATTCAAAAATCATCTGTTGTAATATCCCAAAAAAACATTGCAACACGGAGAAACAACAAAAAACTTACAAAATAGCAAGGGGATGGGTTCGAGGTGCAGGCTACTCCAGCCCCTGGCCCATCACCTTCGAGCTCGCCGGAGGGAGGAGGGAATAGAACCCAGAGCTCATCGAAACCCTAGCCACCACCATGTCCCTCAGATCTAGAGGAGGAGGAGGAGGAGGAGGAGGGCTCAAATCCAAAGGAGGAGGAGGGCTCAGATCCAGAGGAGGAACGACCTACCTCATTGGAGCCACCGCCGTCATGTAGTGGGGTAGGGGCGCCATGGAAACCACCAGACTTGAAGGAAGATGCACATGGAGGAGGGGTGGCTGGATCCATGGAGGGGAGGGGAGGAGGCTTGCTCGAGCCGCCATGGAGTGGGGGGGAGCGGCCGCCATGGAGTGGGGAGAGAGGGGTCATGGCCACAACGACAGAGAAGAAGTGGTGTGCGGTGGAGGAGCTCGCAACAGCGATACGGAATGAGGAACGGCATCGCTCTATTTTATTCTTTGGGAAACTCTGTATGTGGGCCGGTAGCAGGCCTAGCTAGCGCATCCGACACGGCACGACACTCGATAAGAATCATTATGAAAATTATAAAGATGTAGACCTCAATGAGATCGATAACATTCATATAAAAATATCTTTATTTGACACATGTACAAAAAAGATTTTTTTAATGCGACAAACACTTTACGCGATTGTTATGCTGCTGAAATTTTATATTATTTTTTTAGGCATCTTAACGACCTCGAATGAAAAACTTGAAACTAAAAAGTTGTAGATGTCATCAGTATCTCCAGTTGAAAGGCACATCTTGCTTTCCGGTGAGTCAAACCTTTTGAAAATTTGACTAAATATATACTCCCTCCATTCTAAATTATAAGTCGATTTAACTTTTTTTGGTTCATCCATTTTGCGATGTATCTAGACATATTATTATATCTAGATGCATAGTAAAAGAGATGCACCAAAAAAATCAAAGCTACTTATAATTTGGAACGGAGAAGCAAAATTGTACTAATATTTATGATGTATAATAAGTATTATCAAATTAAACATGTAATATATTTATATAATAAACTCATTTAGAGATACAAATTTTGATAATACTTTCTATATTTATGTTTAAACTTAAAAAGATTGCTGGAGAAATGTACGTTTATTTTAGAAAGGGAAAGTATTTGATTTCTTCCGGCGTGTTAGGCGTGGTCCTGACGGACGACCCCACCCTCTTCCATTTCCTCAAACTAGGTAGCATGTCCGTGCGTTGCTATGGGACAACTAAACTTTTATACTAAAAACACATAGACCGCACGATAAGATAACAATACTGTAAAATTAAATACCGACGTTAAAATAATATTTAATCCAAAAGCAAATTTCATGAAATTAACATAACTTTTGTACTAAAATCATACGGATCGCACGATAAGATAACAATACTGTGAAATTAAATACCGACATTAAAGTAATATTTAATCCAAAAAGCAAAGTTCGTGAA